AGACAGAGTCTTGCTCTTTTGCCCAAGCTGGAGTGCAGTGGCATGATCTCAGCTCACTGAAATCTCTGCTTCCCTGGGTCAAGCAATTCTCCTGCCTCAGCCTCTCAAGTAGCTGGGATTACAGGTGCGCACCACCACACCTGGCTAATTTTTGTGTTTTTAATAGAGACAGGGTTTCACCATGTTAGCCAGGCTGGTCTCAAACTCCTGACCTCATGATCTACCCACCTTGGCCTCCCAAAGTGCTGGGATTACAGACATAAGCCATCACGCCTGGCCCAATTTTTTGTATTTTTAGTAGAAAAGGCATTTTGCTCTGTTGGCCAGGGTGGTCTCAAACTCCTGTCCTCAAGTGATCCACTCAATTTAGCCTCCCAAAGTGCTGGGATTATAGATGTGAGCAACGGCACGTAGCCCGAAGTTCTTTATGAGGTGGTGAGTTCACTTGGGAATGTCATGTCTGTTATAGTCTATTGATAGCTATAGAATGTGTTAACTTTGACTGGGCATGGTGGCTCATGTCTGTAATCCCAACACTTTGGGAGGCCAAGGACTGGTGGATCACTAGAGGTCAGGAGTTCGAGACTAGCCTGGCCAATGTGGTGAAACCCCATCTCTACTAAAAATACAAAAATTAGCCAGGTGTGGTGGCGGACACCTGTAATCCCAGCTACTTTGGAGGCTGAGGCAGGAGAATTGCTTGAACCTGGGAGATGGAGGTTGCAGTGAGCCGAGATCGTGCCACTGCACTCCAGCCTGGGAAACAGAGCGAGACTCCATCTCAAAAAGAAAAAAAAAAAGTGTGTTAAATTTGTAGATTTACACCAACATGACTGGGTCATCAAGAAGAACCTTTTGATCAACAAGATGTTAAAAGAGAAATGTGATAAAAAGGAATCTATACTATAGGGTTTTGACATTATTGACCGTAAAAGAGAAGAAGGCATTTGGAGTCTGGGATGGAATTACCAGTGAGTGCAGAGGATTACAAATCATTTGAGGAAAGCCTTAAGTTATAGATAAAAGGGGAATATTGAGTCTGGGTGCTAGAGAACATCATGGGCAGAATGTCTCCTCTATTTCTCCTAGCATGTTATGAGCAGTATTATGACAAATAAACCCAGGGTGAATCCATACCCCCTCATCTGTCTATCCCAGTGCTTAACGTTAATGTGCATATGAATCACTTGGAGATTTTGTTAAAAAGCAGATTCTGGGCTGGGCGCAGTGGCTCATGCTTGTAATCCCAGCACTTGGGGAGCCCGAGGCAGGCGGATCACAAAGTCAGGAGTTCAAGACCAGCCTGACCAACATGGTGAAACCCCGTCTCTACTAAAAATACAAAAACTTAGCGAGGCATGGTGGTGTGTGCCTGTAATCCCAGCTATTTGGGAGGCTGAGGCAGGAGAATCACTTGAACCAGGGAGGCAGAGGTTGCAGTGAGCCAAGATTATACTACTGCACTCTAGCCTGGGTGATAGAGTGAGACTCTGTCTCAAAAAAAAAGAGAAAAAAGATTCTGATTTAATAGTTCTGGGGGTAGGACCCACAATTCTGCATTTCTGACAAACTCCTAGGTGATGCCAAAGATACTGGTCAGTGGACTGCACTTTGACAGACCTGTCCTGCCTGAGGACTCTGTTCTATGGAGAAATCCCTGAACTCCAAGATGACAGCACTTCCTCTTCTGGTGGCCTTCATGAGTTGTGGCAACCTGCTGCATTGACTGTTCACTCAGAAAGGAGTGGGATAGAAAATCAATAGAGTCTTTATGTTTGTAATTTTCCTTCTAATATTTTACTATCTTTTTTCCTATCCATCATTATTCGCCCCTAGCTTTACTTCCCTTTATATCTAACCTAACCTTACTGAGCATCAGTTCAACCACCTTCTGCCAGAGCTGTCAGCTATCTTGAATGCTTGCCTTTCTATCCCACTCTACTTACAGACTTCCAACCTTGGAACAATATAATCTGGCTCTGAACTCTGACACTACTGTATCTGACTACTGCTAGAGAAAATGACACAGTCATTTGTATTATTCTTCAAAAATACTTGGCCAGGCACAGGGCTCATGCCTGTAATCCTAGCAATTTGGGAGGCCGAGGAGGGCAGGTTGCCTGAGCTCAGGAGTTCAAGACCAGCCTGGCCAACATGGCAAAACGCCATCTCTACTAAAAATACAAAAATTAGCCAGGTATGGTGGTACATGCCTGTAATCCCAACTACTGGGGAGGCTGAGGCACAAGAATTGCTTGAACCCTGCAGGCAGAAGTTGCAGTGAGCTGACCTCTCGCCACTTCACTCCAGCCTGGGCAACCGAATGAGACTATGTCCCAAAAAATACTTGTATATGTTTCTGGTCACCAGCTTCCTCTTCTAAATTTCAGACCACTACTTTTTAAGCTCCCTACATTTCTTCTTCTCTTTTAGTAAATTTTTAGTACTAACCTTATCTTATTTCAAAGATAATTTGGATTTTCAGATGCACATTGCTTCAGCTCCTCATTCCTAAGTTCATTATCTTCATCCTGTCCTAATTCAGTTAATACATCTAAAGTGTTTGACACAATGCCTGGCATATAATAAGCATTATCACTGTACTTTGCTATCCTTAGAGGACATAAAAAGCAAATCTCTCTAGTTGTGTTTTATGTTACCATCTCCCCCTCCTTTATTTTCAGGAAATTAGTTCTATCAAGTTAAGGTCTCTATCAATCTCTCCCATTCTATCCTCCCTCCCCAAAGCATATAAATACGCATTTTTTTTTCAAAAATTCTCCCTGTAGCTCTCACCTGTAGCTCGCTCATCTCAGTCAGTATTCCTAAAGATGTGGTTTATACTTATGTCCAATTCCTCATCTCCCATTCATGTTTCAGCTACACTGTAATTTTTTGCCCCCACACCCACCCACTTGAAACTTTTTTTGCAAAGGTAACCATTGACTTAATTACCAAATCCAGTTGACACTTTTCAGTCTTACTTGATGCTTCTACAACATTTGCCACTTCTTTCTTAAAACACTGCCCTCCATTGTCTTCTGTAACATCATTTTCCACTTTTTTTTCCTGTTCATATAGCCTCTCAGTCTCCGTCTCATGTGAACTAGTTTTACCTATCTCTTAAATTTTATTAATCCCATGATTTTATTCTCA